ACACTCACCCACCCCCACCCTCTTACCCACTCTCTTACCCACCCACTCACCCATCCACCCCCCCCCCCACCCACACACACGCACCCCCCTGCCCCCCCCCCCCCCCCTTACACACACCGGGGCCATGTGACTTCAGGAATCAAACCAAACGCGTCACTATGACTTCGTACACGACACCATCAGTAGATCAGCTGGTGTGGTGAATTTCAGAGCGAGTGTTATGGTGGCGATGGTGAGTTCATGATGATGAATACACTACACTACACAGATTTGGAGATCGGTATGTCACTCGTTAAAGTTGAAAAGGGGGGGAAAAATGTATATATATTGCTCTCCGATCATCCCCCGTCTCGAAATAATTGAAAAATCGAAGAAAATATGACATTGCATATATAAAAAAATATATATATAAATAGGCCTATACAGTACATCAAGCGAACAAGCAGCAAATAAAGTTATTTTTCTAAAATTGGAAAACAAACAAAAAACAAACAAAAACAAAAACAAAAACAAAAACAAAAACAAAGACAAAAGCAAAACACACACCACACACACACACACAACACACACACCACACACACACACACACACACACACACACACACACACACACACACACACACACAGAGAGAGAGAGAGAGAGAGAGAGAGAGAGAGAGAGAGAGAGAGAGAGAGAGAGAGAGAGAGAGAGAGAGAGAGAGAGAGAGAGATTACGAGCCACACAAATGGTGAAACAAGTTAGCGCTGTTATCGAATCCCGAAGACGAAAATTAAGGAAAAAAAAATACAAAACAAACTCGTTGGCATAAAAGTTCATCAAAACCTCTTTAGACTTTCCTAATGATTACGCAACGGCCATGCTAAGTACACTCAAGATTGGAAATAAATGCGGAGAGATCTTTAGATATAATTAAGTGAAGTTTATTAAGGGACAGAATAATCATGTTGAAGGAGGAATGTGTTGCTACCACGAGAAGACTCTTTCATTGCCATTAAATTTCGCGTTTTAAATAAACTCGCGATATTATGTCCCATCTTGAAGTTTGTTTGTTTTTTCTTTTCTATTCTTTTTTTTTTTTAAGAAAAGCAATAGACAAAAATTAACCGATCGATTAAAATTCACAAAACGTTTTGATCTTTTCATTTTTTTTTCTAAATAGTATACTTAATTATTTTGTAGATCGAGGGACAAATGAGAGGAGAGAGAGAGAGAGAGAGAGAGAGAGAGAGAGAGAGAGAGAGATTACGAGCCACACAAATGGTGAAACAAGTTAGCGCTGTTATCGAATGCCGAACACGAAAATTAAGGAAAAAAAATACAAAACAAACTCGTTGGCATAAAAGTTCATCAAAACCTCTTTAGACTTTCCTAATGATTACGCAACGGCCATGCTAAGTACACTCAAGATTGGAAATAAATGCGGAGAGATCTTTAGATATAATTAAGTGAAGTTTATTAAGGGACAGAATAATCATGTTGAAGGAGGAATGTGTTGCTACCACGAGAAGCCTCTTTCATTGCCATTAAATTTCGCGTTTTAAATAAACTCGCGATATTATGTCCCATCTTGAAGTTTTTTGTTTTTTTTTTCTTTTCTATTATATATATATATTTTTTTTTAAGAAAAGCAATAGAGAAAAATTAACCGATCGATTCAAATTCACAAAAATCTTTGATCTTTTCATTTTTTTTTCTAAATAGTATACTTAATTATTTTGCAGATCGAGAGAGAGAGAGAGACGAGAGAGAGAGAAGAGAGAGAGAGAGACGAGAGAGAGAAGAGAGAGAGGAGAGAGAGAGAGAGAGAGGAGAGAGAGAGAGAGAGAGAGAGAGAGAGAGAGAATAATTCTCCGTTTCTCCTCCTGCGTCAGGGAGCGAGTCCGCCCGTAGGCCTGCGAAGCTCCCCCTCGGCCGATCGCGCCCCCAGGCCTCGGGATGAAAGCGAAAAGGGGCCACGAAGCCACGAGAAACGGGAGGAGGAGGAGGAGGAGGAGGAGGAGGAGGAGGAGGAAGAGGAGGAGGAGGAAGAGGAGGAGGAGGAGGAGGAGGAGGAGGAGGAGGAGGAGGAGGAGGAGGAGGAGGAGAGGAGGAGGAGGAGGAGAGGAGAGGAGGAGGAGGAGGAGGAGGAGGAGAGGAGGAGGAGGAGGAGGAGGAGAGGAGGAGGAGAGGAGGAGAGGAGGAGAGGAGAGGAGGAGAGGAGGAGGAGGAGGAGGGGAGTGAGGAGGAGAGGAGAGGAGGAGAGGAGGAGGAGGAGGAGGAGAGGAGGAGGAGGAGGAGAGAGAGGAGAGGAGGAGGAGGAGGAGGAGGAGAGGAGGAGGAGAGGAGGAGAGGAGGAGGAGGAGGAGAGGAGGAGAGGAGGAGAGGAGGAGGAGGAGGAGAGGAGGAGGAGGCGAGGACGTCCTTCCCGACGCCACTAAAACAAAAAGATTCGGCCCAAATATCCCCTCCCTGTTCCGCCCCCGCCCGCGCCACGGCCAAACACGCTCCCTCTACACTCAC